GAATTCTCCGCTCACTCGCACCATGACTCAGAGTCCTAGCATGCTTGTAACACAATAATCCGCTAAATTCGAGACCTATGAAGTACATCTGGAGGTTGCGTTTGTGGTCATGCGGACGAAGATCGTTTTGCTCACGATAAAACCACCGTGTGTTTCAAACAACGGAAGCTATCACACTCTCTCGGTACATAGCTGCCCTGCAACTCGGAGGAAACACAGGGACTGAGATACTGCCAGGTTGCTCAAGCTTAGACAAGAGCAGTCGAGATGCAGAGGTTGCGTACGTCAGTAAGTTTGTGCGTTGAGCTATCTCAAGTTCCCAGTTAGTTCAAGTCTCAAGACCTTAGCCGTTAGGTGTTACGTCTCGGCAACAAAGCTGCTTTTGTAACCGGAAGCTAATGTCCCATTTGTTAAACACCGCAAATAAGAGAAATCTGCACAGCAAAAAGGGAATTTAGTCAAGAGGGTTGTGGTGGAAGGATAACTGTGCTGACAAACGTATACCACTAAGAGGGGTTCTACCGGAAACATGATACACAATCGACTGGGGAAGAAACTAAACTGTTCTAAGGGACCAAGTAATATATGATCATGTTCGATCAGCAATTTTACTGCTCTTAATTTGCTTCCATATAAGCAAACACCAAAATCTAAAATAGAGGTCTCATACACAGTTGATGTCCACTGAGCTACTAAGGTTAATCATATTACACTTCGAGGTGGACCTTTGAAACTAAATTCCGCACCAGACATGTAAATACAGGCACTTTGTCTGAAAGACAAGAGTGGCTATTAGCTAGGGATGTAAAACTATATTCTGGAAAATCTTTAGGATTTCTGATGCAACGTTTACTTCTCTAATACTGTGTTATCGTTTCAGCCAATAGGCACACACTAATTCAAGTCCTCGCTTATCGATCGATTCGGTTGGTGCGCTTCGTGAATCGAGTTCTACTCAGGCTATCTCAGATAGTTGAAGTTGTGGCATTGATTTTTTGCCCGTTATCATTGACCACTTCCGGGTAGGTCCATCCGTCAAATGCAGGCTGAATGTAACGCCGGCAGGATTTTCCGTGAAAATAACTTACTAAGGCAAACGGATTCAGAAGAACAGGTGTTTTAAAAAATGGTCTTCAGCGGCCAGATTAAAATGGCTGAAGCTGCTAAAATTCTCAAAGCTAATGCCACGCTAGGATGTTTCTAAGTAATGTATATGTCTTAGTTCATAATTTTGTTTGGAACTAACTCCCCCCTCACTCCTGAGAAGTACTTCCGTGTTGTAATCATAATCGGTTCACCTGATTCGCCAAACTGCCAATAGAACACATTATTCACCGATTGATAGGAGATTACCATTAACCTTTACGCGTACACGGCGTTACCAAGGCGTCGATGCGTATCTCCGCTCGTTAGAACCATTTTCACTTAGGCCTAATGACTCCCATTTAAGAAAAACTTTATTCTAAGGGGTGTGGCAAGATTGTGAGGTGTTCGGGATTGTCTACAACTGGGTTAGGGGATTTGGAGGTCGGCAAACCAAAGTGAACTACAAAACGCTTGCAAAATCTGATGTTATGACGACGCATACTTTGGCACAATACAGTTAAAGTAGACAGATACAATCGGGAAAATCCACAAAAAACATCTCCACGGTAAGCTCCGTATCTTCCTACCTAAGCCGCTACCCTCTCCGGATTTTTGTAGAAGGCCAACTAATTAGTTTTTCGCTTTTCCGTATGGTAGCAGTTAAACCGCTTTGTACGAGCTTATCAGAGCTCCTCTTAACTGTGAACATCAATTTATGACTGTCGACGTCTATAATTATAATGGTGGGTTCGTTTCCCCTACATTATATTGGATTGCACAGGCCAGATCGCTTTTCCAAAACCTATCAGGGGAAAATAGACAGTCTAAGCCTCTTCACAGTCTTGCGAGGAGATGTTTCTTGTGGTTATCTATCTTTCACCGATCATTTTTGCTAAGCCCTCAACATGGCTTCCCATATCTGTTGGTATGGTTTCAAAGAGATTTCATGGGCTGATCTGATATATGTTCCAAATACCTTTTCTCACGTCACACAGACACTGCCCATCATGTTTTAGATTGTGTGAACTCATTTTCGCTGTTAGTCACCCCTCCCATCCCTACCACTTGAAGGTAAAGTCCAGCGTTAGGAGGAGGAATTTCCTCAATAATCTGTATTTCCTCAATTCCCTACACAAGAAGTTCACCACTGCATATTTACCTAGTTAACTGGAAACAGATTATTCGCGAATCAGTGTAAGTGGACCCTTATAGGAACTTCTCTGTGTGGGTTTTTCAGCATCCATTGTAGTTTTGTATGAGTTTTACCGTTTTGCGACCAGGATCGGCAGATATCCTCACAGGAAAACAGATAATCGTTCAAGATCCAAGATCCGAACCAAGTCAAGGTTGACAATCACTTTCATCAATCATTCAAAATCAGTTTAGCTGAGAATATAGATGCATTTCTTAAACATCCAAACACCTGGATGTGTTGGCACTAATCACATCTATCTTGACAAAGTGTTTTCTTGCCAAAGATAGGTATAGGCCACTTTCCTCTTATGTATAGCCATCATAGTCAAACAGACTGACCTTGATCTGGATGGCACTCAAGAAATAAAGGGTGGTGGTGAAGTGGGATGGTAGATTGCAGACTCGGAAAGGCCTACTAACCCATAAATACCGTTCGTCTCATCGATTTCCATTGCACAGAAACAACTTCGACATTGAAGAATGCCGGAAATTTTGTAGTTCTTTCGAGGAATTTATTGATGAGCATACTTTTTCACTGCAACTAACTAGGTGGAAAAATCTTAGAAAACCAACCTGGGAAAGGAGAGAAGCCAGATAAATTTTTACAATTTTACTGGCTTGAATGTGCGAGACAAAAAGATTCTAGCTTCCTCAGTCAGGTTTTGTGGAGCGGGTCGAAAAGTTACTGCATGAGATTATCACCAAGTGATTCATGAGACGTAGCTACTCATAAATATACAAACTATGGGCCAGAGAGAAAGGCTTGGTAATTACGGAATAATAAAGAAACGAGAAAGGAAGCGCGCAACAGGAGAATGGAGGCCATGATTAATTTATTGTAACAAGGATGTTGAGTCAGCGACACCTACCTACACGTGGTACTTATTTGCTCATTGTTTCAATGAGCAGTTCGTTAATGTTGCCAAGTTCTCACCAGGATTGGTGTGCCAGTCAGCCAAAATGTATAGGTACCTCATAAAAAATTCGTGTCTGCCGTTATTGTGCTCTCGATCACGATTTGAACTTAAACACTTTCAAAATTTAACTCTAATTTTATATGTGACCATAAATTACACGCTCGTTCCAGCAAAATATTCGATTTAATAATACCTTCTGAAAAGGGCACGACATTTGAATGTTGCTGAACTAAATGAATGGAATAGATAGATGTCTTCAGCAACAGTTGGTTCATTACACTTGGTTGCCGTTATTTCAACATTAATAGCCTAATGCATGTAAATCGATCTTACATTTCGGTATTGTACCCTAATCAGGAACGCCGCTAGATAGGTGCAACTTTGTAAGAGGTGATAATTTGGCGCAGGAACCAAGTGCCTCAGCAGTCTATTGCTCTTTGCGGTTAGAGAAAGGAGTCTTAAAGGTCTCCGTACAATAAACACTGGAGTGACTCTCAATGAATTCCATACAGGAGGGCAAAGGAGTGGTGGCAGTTGTTCAGTGGCCTCCATCAAAAATATCCTTCACTTGAGACCAGTAAAATGGCCTCTTCCTAAAATAACGTGTTTATTTGTAAAAGATGTGTTTTCGTCTTCAGAGTCATTAAAGTAAACGCTTTTGGAGTATCGACTTCATGCGAGCCTGTCTTTTTTATGCCAAGGAATTCTTATTGCTTCCAAAGGATAGTCTGTATTTTGTTCCAGTTTTTTGCGGCTTTTGTCGATTGTTTTGTCTGTGCCTGCATAAGAATGTCAAGCGGCACCTCACCTTTTGACATAATTACGGAATTTTTGCCTCTGATAGGTTGGAACTTCGTAATTTTCATCCGTTAGCTGCGTTATCTTCAAATGTGCATACACCCTCTTTTGCAGTGTATCAGACTTTCCCAAATATGCTCTACTTTCTATGGTAGGTGTCTTCGCGACTGTTCTTCTCAACAAACAACCTCTGGCGGACTTTGCTGCCCTAAAATTTTGAACTAATAGGTCGTACAATGGCATACTGGCCGTTTTTGTGTTCAAAATGAGGGATAAGTCAAGGAAGAAGCAGAATTTTATTGAACAAAAATGTGACCAGACAAGAAAATCGGATTGGCGGAGCCACAAAAGTGAACACTTAAAGGGAGAAATAACAAAGACTCAAGGGTACATACATATCTACGTCGAATCCGAGACCACTGTTGGTCAGCCAGTGAAACTAGGACGGTTTTGTATCAAAACTCCAATGATGCTTGCTCACGCGCCCACCATTTAGTTTACAAATATGAAGAGTCGGCCCTGGGAACCCTAGCCGCCAATATCACAACACTACAGTCAGAGGCCATTTTTCACGGACTTCATCATCATCATTATCAGCTGTAATAACCGCGTACTGGTCGTACACTGGT